AATATATATATATATATATATATATATTTTACAGGGCAATTGTGTAACTGCAAAAAATGGTTAAAGAATAAGACGCAAATGTTGTTTAAGTCTGTCTTACAATGCTTTATACCTTTAAGTCAGCAAATTCATGAAATCTGCTCCCTTCTACAGACATCTCAAGTTCCAAAATTTCATTTCAGGGAGATGCTTATCGAACCCCCCAAACACCCTCGACAACAAACCCACACCGTGCCCCATACACACACACTTAATTATTCTTCACCATCACTAGACATGGACATACTTTTGCATATACTGCTTTAAAATGAGTCTTATATTTTCATTTTTTACTTGAGAATTCAACCTCTGCCATTTCACAGGATGCACGGCTTTGAGTGGTAACTAGGTGACTGTCGGAGAGTAAACCGAAACTTATTGGCTTATTTTTCTGAGTAATCCAAACTCGTGGGCATCCGTGAACAACTATATCAGGGAGACCCCAGGATCTTCTGGGTGACTTGGAATGTCTGCTTCTATAGTACTAGTCCATAGTTACTATCCCTCAACTTTTGGAAGCGTCCCTGCTTCAGTTGCATGATTATCATGGCTAAATTCTCTCGTTAGAGTGTCACTCAGCTCTAAAGAGGTCCAATAAAGAACCATTCATCTGGTTCAAGTGTGTTGGAGAAGGGAGGCATTTATACTTTTCATGGCTGTAGCATCCTTGTTATACAGGCTTGATCTGAAGTATGCTCAATTCAAAGTGTGTTTTACATGAAAAAAGCTGAGACACTTGCTCAAGAATAAAATAGTAGTCAAACTGCTAAATCTCAATGTTTAGGATTTCTTTAAGTGATACTAGGTTACAAAGAATTTGTGTATCTTCAAAAATGTTATGTCTTTTTGTCTCTTTTTCTTCCAGGGTAAGACGTGTTGGGTAAAATTAAACCTTGTTTACTTGAACCAGAGTTTAAAAGATTTATCCAACAAGTTTGGAAACAGTTCATCTAATAAAGAGCTAATAAAATTAATCATGCTTTACGTTGAAGAAGAACGGCGAAAGATCCAAAAACAATTTACTGATCTAAAATGGGTGAGTTGATAAAATCATTATATACATTTATAACACTGTGGTTTTTACATCAGTGTTTAACTTGTTCTGCAGACATATGCTTTGTATTTGAACTAATTGCAACTATTTTCACCACACAGGAAGACCTTATGTGGGAATTTCAGTGCCACTCCAGACAACAGATGTGGGAAACAGGAAAATACTTTGACTTTGTCAAAGAGTTCTTTAGAGCTGCAAAGAATGAAGACTATTCAGATGATTGTTCAGATCCTGAATGTCCCGTTGACCCAACAAAAGAATATTCAACAGGTAGTGTTGACTTAATTCTTGCTTTATTAAGAAGACAGAATGTGGTTTGATTATGAAGCTTAATAAGTGCTTAAATGGTGTGAAAAGTTATGTGTTTAGTGATAAGGGTAAACAGTACAGCATGCTAAAACCAGCACCTTCTACTGTGGTTAAAAAAGGTTTTCTTTAACCTTAGGAACAACATTTTCATTGGTTGCGTAAAGTAAAGTAGATTTGATTCATTTGAAGCTGGTCGACCTCTGGATGACCTAAAAAAAATAACCTTCGATATCTCTGAAACTAAAGACCAGGGTGTAAACGCTGTGGATCTGAAATGGAGAGCTGTGTGCTTCTTGCACGGCTCACGGAAATAATTGCACTTGGTCTGAATGCACCTCTACATTGATCCTTTAGGGACTCCTCGGGTAAAAGAAAAATAGGTATCTGGGCCGAGATTTCTGAATGAACAGTAATAATAAGGTCTATAAATAACCTTAAGAGAGTACTTTCTGTGCTTCCATGCTTTCTGAAATCAGACTAAAACTTTTCATGAATGCTGTTTTTTTATCTAAAATGAAAAACTATTCTGAAAGTCCATTGCTGGATGAAGACCGTTTACCTAGAAAAAAACGGCCCCTCGGAGTTCAATAGAACTGAGGGCTCTGAATGTTTCTTCCTGATCATTTGTTTTACCTTAGCATGTTAAAAGGACACACACCTATGTGTCCACCTTGAGATGTTGTTGGGGCCTGGAGCCTTACTGGAGTTGATTTCCTGGAGGGCCTGCCTCATGTCTGCTGTGCTCACAGATAAGGGCATGTCACTGGGTGACATTTGTATATAATAAATA